AATTAAATGTATAAACTCGGGGTAGATGCATGAAATTCAGGCTTGCCGGGGTGAAGCATCTAGCTGGGTCTACAGTTTAGTCCCACACGGGTGACGCATCTAGCTGGGTCTACAGTTTAGTCCCACACGGGTGACGCATCTAGCTGGGTCTACAGTCTAGTTCAACACGGGTGACGCATCTAGCTGGGTCTACAGTCTAGTTCCACACGGGTGACGCATCTAGCTGGGTCTACAGTTTAGTCCCACACGGGTGACGCATCTAGCTGGGTCTACAGGGTAGTTCCACACGGGTGACGCATCTGGCTGGGTCTACAGTCTAGTTCCACACGGGTGAAGCATCTAGCTGGGTCTACAGTCTAGTTCCACACGGGTCAAGCATCTAGCTGGGTCTACAGTCTAGTTCCACACGGGTGAAACATCTAGCTGGGTCTACAGTTTAGTCCCACACGGGTGACGCATCTAGCTGGGTCTACAGTCTAGTTCAACACGGGTGACGCATCTAGCTGGGTCTACAGTTTAGTTCCACACGGGTGACGCATCTAGCTGGGTCTACAGTCTAGTTCAACACGGGTGACGCATCTAGCTGGGTCTACAGTCTAGTTCCACACGGGTGAAGCATCTAGCTGGGTCTACAGTCTAGTTCCACACGGGTGAAGCATCTAGCTGGGTCTACAGTCTAGTTCCACACGGGTGAAGCATCTAGCTGGGTCTACAGTCTAGTTCCACACGGGTGAAGCATCTAGCTAGGTCTACAGTCTAGTTCAACACGGGTCAAGCATCTAGCTGGGTCTACAGTCTAGTTCCACACGGGTCAAGCATCTAGCTGGGTCTACAGTCTAGTTCCACACGGGTGAAGCATCTAGCTGGGTCTACAGTCTAGTTCCACACGGGTGAAGCATCTAGCTGGGTCTACAGTCTAGTTCCACACGGGTGAAACATCTAACTGGGTCTACAGTCTAGTTCCACGCGGGTGAAACATCTAGCTGGGTCTACAGTCTAGTTCCACACGGGTGACGCATCTAACTGGCGCTACAGTCTAGTTCCACACGGGTGAAACATCTAGCTGGGTCTACAGTCTAGTTCCACACGGGTGAAACATCTAACTGGGTCTACAGTCTAGTTCCACACGGGTGAAGCATCTAGCTGGGTCTACAGTCTAGTTCCACACGGGTGACGCATCTAGCTGGGTCTACAGTCTAGTTCCACACGGGTGAAGCATCTAGCTGGGTCTACAGTCTAGTTCCACACGAGTGACGCATCTAGCTGGGTCTACAGTCTAGTTCCACACGGGTGAAGCATCTAGCTGGGTCTACAGTCTCGTCCACACGGGTGACGCATCTAACTGGCTCTACAGTCTAGTTCCACACGGGTGACGCATCTAGCTGGGTCTACAGTCTAGTTCCACACGGGTGAAGCATCTAGCTGGGTCTACAGTCTCGTTCCACACGGGTGAAGCATCTAGCTGGGTCTACAGTCTAGTTCCACACTAGTGAAACATCTATACTGAGTCAAAAAAGAAACTTCACATTCCTTCTTCAGGGCACTGTAAAAGAACAACAGATGGTAAGATGGTTAAATTGTTATTATTTCATTGCTGAGATCTGTGTGATGTACTCGATACACTGACAGTGCCATAATCAGTTTCATTAGGCTACACCGCCGTTCCAAAACATGGGTATACAGAATGGCAAGTCACAAGAATAAAAATGCGAAATCTCAGTTCAATATCGTGTATGGCCGCCCCGCGCATTCACCACTGCCAAACACCGTCTCCTCATCGACTGCCTGATGCTTGTGAACACGTGGTTGGGGATTCTACGCCATTGCTCTTGCAAGGCAGCGCCAAGTTCCTGCAAATTCTGAGGTTGGTTCCTAAGACCACGAAGCCTTCTCCCAAGTGCATCCCAAACGTGCTCTATTGGATTAAGGTCAGGGGACCTCGATGGCCAGTCCATGACGTTGATTCCAGCGTTTTGAAGGAAATTTCGTGTCAACATCGCGGTATGCGGCCGAGCATTATCATGCTGGAACTGTAGACCTGGGCCATGAGCCGCCATGAAAGGAACGAGTTCAGGGGTGAGCACCTGGTTGCGGTAACCAGCAGCTGTGAGGTTTCCACGGATGACCAGAAGTCGGGAACGGTTGTTCCCACAGAAAGCACCCCACACCATGCAACTTCCGCCCCCCGAATCTGTCGACTTCCTGTACACAACATTGGGCATACCGTTCACGACGTCGTCTCCAGACTCGATGCCTGCCGTCCGCGAATCTGAGGGTAAACCTGAATTCATCGCTAAAGACGAGTCGATTCCAGTCTCTCTGGGTCCATCGGAGGTGACGTTGGGCCCACAGCAGACATTAACGTTGATGAAACGGCGTCAATATTGGCCCACGATATGGACGTCGAGAATGGAGATTGGCAGCCCGCAACCGATTTCGAATGGTCTGTGAGGACAGTCGACCTCTAAACATCTCAGCCCTGGTTCGTGTAGCCGGCAGACATCTGTCACGTAGGTGACGTAGGACGATTTGACGGTCTTCTGCTCGTGACGTCACACGTGGACGACCCGACCTTGGGCGATCAGAAGTGGTGCCAGTTTGTTGTAGACGACCTCGCAAGTCATACACAGTACGACGGCTGCATCCCATTGCTCTTGCGACGTCAATAACTGATCTTCCCGCTTGCAACATGCCAACGGCACGTTCACGTTGCACATTTGACAATCGTGGCATTTCAAGTACCGTTAGAACTGTGGTTTAAAAGAGTTTTTTCAATTCTTGAGGCCAATGCAAACACGTGCATATGAAGAAAACTTCGATGCGAAGATCACGTGATCGACTGCACGTGCAAAACCTGATTTGGCACTAACGTCATTTGCACGACGAATGGATGGGTTTGAGTGGGGTTTTGCTAACGTTTTTCTAGAGTCGAAAGATAGGGATCCCATTTCGGATACATAGATGTATCATCAGAGAAAAAATATTCATCATTTTTCAAATTACATTTTGTGAAGTTTCTTTTTTTGACTCAGTATAGTTTGATTTAGTTGAAGTGATCCAATCGTTTTAAACTTTCGATTATTGTACCACCGAGTATGATTAGGAGAACTGACTCAGAAATGAAAATATTCATTTGTACACAGTGTTACAGCTGTATTGAAGGTTTGACTTGTCTATATCTTATTTATTCAGATAGTTTGAACACTCGGTCTCAGTCTCCATGGAAGGGAACAGAAGCACGCCTTGACCTACAAGTAAACACCAGCGCCCTCATGTGGCACATGAAGGCCATTAAGATACCTCATATCTTGAGATAATATTTCTTTTGAAGGTGTTTAGCTACATATTGTCAGCATGTGTCCTTCCGACATCTAAGTAATGGATAACGTTGGCAGAACCCATATAATCCTCACTGTCCAAACACAGGACACAAAGAACAAACACAAAACCAGAGACAAAAACATCAACGTAAATTTAACACAGAAAGAAACAAACAGTTGATAACACTGCGGCCTTGTCTTTCAGAGATTATCTGTAACGAGGTACTCACTATCGTCGGAGAAACAGGTTTAGCAGAGATGATATGTCGGTGTATAGTTTCCTGTTCTGTTATAAATCTACCTGTATGTATCACATTTCTGGAGTAACGTGTATTACCTGAATGGATAAAGCCCGCTACATGTTTATTTACCTTATGTTGACAATTATAAATACTCTCAAATGTAGTTAGTTCGTAATCTGAACTATGGGGATATTGTTATGCAATACAGTTCTTGTTTCTTGATTCGATCACTGAAACATTGCAAGTCTACTTAATGTGGAGCTAAAACGTCTTCTGTTCTCTTTTATTGACATTTGAGAGACTAATACCAAGTTAACAAGTAAACAGGGCCAAACGAAGTGGGTCAAATATATATCTGCTTCTGATAAGAACTGACCCCATACCAGCTGCTCTAGATTCACACATTGATGGTGTCTGTGTACACTGCGAGATATACGTCTATATACAACGGTAAAGACACATGTTCATACAGCCTAGTTCTGTTTATAGTTCCTCAGCATGCATGTCACTGTGTGTGTACATAACTGCAACCGTGAGGGGCGGAGGAAATAGACCGTGTTTTCTCAAGTTGAAGTTTTATATTGGTTTGTTTGTGTTTAAAAATAGCTAGCGTCCTGATTCCGTTTTTACCATCTGGTCTGAAACTTGAGGAGTTAAATCCAGACCAAGCACAGAAATATGCCTAGCACAGACCCAGCCCTCTATATTGATCAGCACTCCTCTATAGTGCAAATACAATATACCCTTCTTACACCCTGAGCTGGGATGCTTATCTTCCAGTATTCCAACCAATCACCTGGCTTCGTTACAAAACATGGTGATAACTCTTTATTGAGGTCACAATGAGTTTCTCCCCATTTGAGTGGTATAATGAGGTGTTTTATATGCCATGAAGATAACCTCTTCAGAAGCTCGCATCATCTTCACGCTTCTTGAAGCTGATCTAGCCAGACATGGTTCGGTACTCAAGGAACAGCGATGTTGTCACAGACGTGCTGGATGAAGCGGAGACTCCAAGGTGAGTAATACAAGGGCCATTAGTGCAGATGTTTGTACTGAAAGGTGAGATAACAGAGTAATAGTGACATCCAACCAGTGTTTGTTTTCAAAAGGGGCTAGTTGCAAGTCTTGTCTTTCAGCACCAAGGAAGCACCAATGGCCTCGTAGCTTTGTTGTGAGAAATTACGTGAATATTACAAGCTGGAGGCAGGTTTCACCGTGATAACCTTTCACGACCATTCACACACAACAATCACTTGTTTAGGAAACTTCAGGAAAGTTCAGATTTTCTCTTATGATTTCCTCTTACTCAGCATGTGTCATCAAATATTTCCTAGACTATTTGTTACAAGAATGGTCAGATATTAAATCAGACAAGACAAATTGTTACTTTATTTACGTCTTCAGAACTATCATGATGAAAGTCAAGGACAGTGAATTCAGCGATGTAAATATGTAATTTTATTGCACATATTTCTGTCAGTCAACATTTCTTCACAGTCATTGATATTTGATGTCTCGACACAATTAAAATTTAAGGATAATAAATTTGTTATGTACAATCTTGTATTTGTGCACCTCTGCTGTACAATTACACACAAACCTACACTGAGACTGCGACACAGAGTAACACAGAGTAACACAGAGTAACACATGATGGTGGACTGATGTGTACTGACAATCTCCTCATGATCAAAGTATACATTAGACATAGAAGCTATAAAACCAAAAGCTGAAGTCTAAATATCTTGGGAAATAATGAACATATTAGAAATCACATAACAAGAGGGATCATTGATGTGACATCAATATATGAGAACAATCTCACATTGTATCCCTCCGTGTACTATTGTACTTAAAGCATTTCATTATTGGGGACCAATGAAGAAAATATGTCTTTGAAAATACTTAAAAAAGGAATAATGATGTTTCAAACTGTTGAAAACAAAACTGCCTGCCCATAGCAAGCAAAACCAACAACCCTGTTACATGATTCCTGGAAAGAAGTATAGTTATGCTCATTGTTTTATTTAAAATGATATGGAGTTTTCAAGATAAAACTGAAAATAATACTGGTATATAGTCTCCATGCAAGAACATCTGTAAGATCAAATGAACCTACTTCTCGAATCAACCCTTTAAATCAGTCTAGGCTATTATGATATAGATATTACATCCACATTTACGAAACAGAACTGGTTTCATGATAAAAGTCTTAACTGATAACTCGCACCTGTGTCAGTGCATTTAATGTATTTTTTTATTTGAATGTTTCATATTATCTTGATGCATTAATGATAAGACTCTCACAAAAGTACTGGGTAACCTCATGTTTGCTACAGTAGAACATTTCCTGTATGATGTCAGCATCCGAACAGCATCTGGAGGCAGTCAGATATTGCTTCATGCTGCTTCATCAGCTGTTCACAATTATATCAGGACTTGATGCAGGGTCGGATATGATCATCAGATACAGAGTAGATGCATTACAGGTGTGGTATGAATAATATTTTATTCATATAACTTAATAGTGTCATTTCTGGTGTATAGGTACTGATGTCATAGTCTATAGGGGAGCAAGAGAGAGTGAGTTTGGTTTGATGCCACTTTCAGCAATATTCCAGCAATATCATGGTGGGGATACCAGAAATGGAGAATATAGAGAATTGAATCGTGTCTTTGGTGTGATGAGCACTAGGCTACCCAGGTGAACAAAAATCCATCATTATTGCATTGCCTTGACTCAAAGAGACACAATGCTGAAGATGTTTGTTTTCTTTGAAGTGTTTTTGCACATACATACACATAAGAACTGTTTCTTAAAATGGCATTGCTTTTGGTTTTGGAATACAAAAGTGCATTCAGGTAACAAGGAATTTCTGGCAAACTGAATCCATTAATCTAGAACATACGATAGACTTTGATACTGTGGTGAACTAAACAATACAACACTGGTACCTCTCAGGCATCTCAGAGAAAGGCAAGGAAGATCTGGTTCAAATATAAACCAATACAGGGGTAATGTTTCATATGTAACTATACATTGTACCATTGTTTATAAACCCCCATAAATTATTCTATTTTAGATGAAAATCATCATCAAAGTTATGTTGTTGTTGATACAAGCACATTCATTCACATGTGGGTAAAAGTCCAGGTGGCTGAAAATGAAGCACCACAACGTATCCTCTCTGCCTTGTCTTGAGGTCTGCTATAATGGTCTTGTCAGTACTGCAGCCTGGGTCGTCAGCGTTGTCTGTATAGCGTCCAGAAGACCCTGCACCTTCCCCAGTCCCTCCAAGAGATCCATAGCTCCGTCTCTGGGGACAAAAAGTTAGAAGTCTTGTGTCATGAAGCACAGGGATGTGTCCAGACTTGTTCAGAGTCCGATACAGAGCTCCTGAGATATGAGCTGCTTAGATATGTTCCACCCACATCATGAGCTGCTGATATCAGTTCCACTCACATCATGAGCTGCTGGGATCTGTTACACTCACCTCATGAGCTGCTGATATCTGATCCACTCACATCATGAGCTGCTGGGATCTGTTACACTCACCTCATGAGCTGCTTAGATATGTTCCACCCACATCATGAGCTGCTGAGATCTGTTACGCTCACCGCATGAGCTGCTGGGATCTGTTACACTCACCTCATGAGCTGCTGATATCTGATCCACTCACATCATGAGCTGCTGGGATCTGTTACACTCACCTCATGAGCTGCTTAGATATGTTCCACCCACATCATGAGCTGCTGATATCAGTTCCACTCACATCATGAGCTGCTGGGATCTGTTACACTCACCTCATGAGCTGCTGATATCTGATCCACTCACATCATGAGCTGCTGGGATCTGTTACACTCACCTCATGAGCTGCTTAGATATGTTCCACCCACATCATGAGCTGCTGAGATCTGTTACGCTCACCGCATGAGCTGCTGGGATCTGTTACACTCACCTCATGAGCTGCTGATATCTGATCCACTCACATCATGAGCTGCTGAGATCTGTTCTGCTCACCTCATGAGCTGCTGAGATCTGTTACACTCACCTCCTGAGCTGCTGATATCTGTTACACTCACATCATGAGCTGCTGAAATCTGTTACACTCACCTCCTGAGCTGCTGAGATCTGATCCATTCACATCATGAGCTGCTGAGATCTGATCCACTCACCTCATGAGCTGCTGATATCTGTTACACTCACATCATGAGCTGCTGAGATCTGTTACACTCACATCATGAGCTGCTGAGATCTGTTCCACTCACCTCCTGAGCTGCTGAGATCTGTTACACTCACCTCATGAGCTGCTGATATCTGTTACACTCACATCATGAGCTGCTGAAATCTGTTACACTCACATCCTGAGCTGCTGAGATCTGATCCACTCACATCATGAGCTGCTGAGATCTGTTCTGCTCACCTCATGAGCTGCTGAGATCTGTTACACTCACCTCATGAGCTGCTGATATCTGTTACACTCACATCATGAGCTGCTGAAATCTGTTACACTCACCTCCTGAGCTGCTGAGATCTGATCCATTCACATCATGAGCTGCTGAGATCTGATCCACTCACCTCCTGAGCTGCTGAGATCTGTTACACTCACATCATGAGCTGCTGAGATCTGTTCCACTCACATCATGAGCTGCTGAGATCTGTTACACTCACCTCCTGAGCTGCTGAGATCTGTTACACTCACCTCCTGAGCTGCTGAGATCTGTTCCACTCACCTCATGAGCTGTTGGGATCAGTTCCACTCATCTCATGACCTGCTGAGATCTGTTCCACTCACATCATGAGCTGCTGAGATCTGTTCCGCTCACCTCATGAGCTGCTGAGATCTGTTCCACTCACCTCATGAGCTGCTGATATCTGTTACACTCACATCATGAGCTGCTGAGATCTGTTCCACTCACCTCATGAGCTGCTGAGATCTGATCCACTCACATCATGAGCTGCTGAGATCTGTTCCACTCACATCATGAGCTGCTGAGATCTGTTCCACTCACATCATGAGCTGCTGAGATCTGTTACACTCACCTCCTGAGCTGCTGAGATCTGATCCATTCACATCATGAGCTGCTGAGATCAGTTTCACTCACCTCATGAGCTGCTGAGATCTGTTCCGCTCACCTCATGAGCTGCTGAGATCTGATCCATTCACATCATGAGCTGCTGAGATCTGTTCCACTCACATCATGAGCTGCTGAGGTCTGTTCCACTCACATCATGAGCTGCTGAGATCTGTTCCACTCACCTCCTGAGCTGTTGGGATCAGTTCCACTCATCTCATGACCTGCTGAGATCTGTTCCACTCACCTCATGAGCTGTTAGGATCAGTTACACTCACCTCATGAGCTGCTGAGGTCTGTTACACTCACCTCACGAGCTGCTGATATCTGTTACACTCACCTCATGAGCTGTTGGGATCAGTTCCACTCACCTCCTGAGCTGCTGAGATCTGTTCCACTCACCTCATGAGCTGTTGGGATCAGTTCCACTCACCTCCTGAGCTGTTGGGATCAGTTCCACTCATCTCATGAGCTGCTGAGATCTGTTACACTCACCTCATGAGCTGTTGGGATCAGTTACACTCACATCATGAGCTTCTGAAATCTGTTACACTCACCTCATGAGCTGTTGGGATCAGTTACACTCACCTCCTGAGCTGCTGAGATCTGTTACACTCACCTCATGAGCTGTTGGGATCTGTTCCACTCACCTCATGAGCTCCGCTGTTGTGTGACAGGGACTGTATGAGAGCAGGGACAGTGTGGCTCTCATCCCATGCACTCGGATGCTGGGAATGGTGGACTTGACACAGGTCTGTACAATATCAGTTACGTAGGGCACCTGCAATACAATAAATTCAATGCAAGTTTGAACAACATAAGTTTGGATCCAAATATATGAATAATAATAACATGCAAACACATAAATGTAATCTTATCATAGGATGTCATTCAGTAAACTGTGAACTGTTCCATATATACATGTACAATGTATATATATAGGTGTTAACCTGAGCTGATACATCTGAAACAGTGTTCCAGCTGGAATTAAGCATCACTCACTCACACACACACTCACTCACTCACTCACATGTTTTGTTCTGTTAGAAGATGACTGTGATGTATGGTGGATGATACTGTTTGTAACACAAGGCTGAAATCAAGCCTTGATGAAACACCTAACAACTTGACTTGTGACCTATGATTATAATTAGGGATGGGATGGGTCCAAATTTTCTACCCGGGTACCCCACCCCTATTACCCTTCCCTGATGCCTGTTATGTTAATTCCTGACATCAAATTCTAAAGAAATGGCAATATATTCTTCAGCTCGGAGGCTAAAATTTCAAGTTTTTTAATATCTTTACCATGTATTATATTTAAAACAGGTGACTGTAAATTATGTCTAAATCTTTAAAGACAATACAACCTTTTAATCATGAAAGAATCACATATTACAATGTTCAATCTGTTAGTCACATGATCATGATGGGTCCGGGTATTGAGATGGGTACCTGGGTCCAACTCATTACCCACCCATCTATTGGGATGCACATGATGAAGCATGCTGAGGTTTGCTAGATTATTGGGATGCACATGATGAAGCATGCTGAGGTTTGCTAGACTATTGGGATGAACATGATGAAGCATGCTGAGGTTTGCTAGACTATTGGGATGAACATGATGAAGCATGATGAGGTTTGCTGGACTATTGGGATGAACATGATGAAGCATGATGAGGTTTGCTAGACTATTGGGATGAACATGATGAAGCATGATGAGGTTTGCTAGACTATTGGGATGAACATGATGAAGCATGATGAGGTTTGCTGGACTATTGGGATGAACATGATGAAGCATGATGAGGTTTGCTAGACTATTGTGATGCACATGATGAAGTATGATGAGGTTTGCTAGACTATTGTGATGCACATGATGAAGCATGATGAGGTTTGCTGGACTATTGGGATGAACATGATGAAGCATGATGAGGTTTGCTAGACTATTGGGATGAACATGATGAAGCATGATGAGGTTTGCTGGACTATTGGGATGAACATGATGAAGCATGATGAGGTTTGCTGGACTATTGGGATGAACATGATGAAGCATGATGAGGTTTGCTAGACTATTGTGATGCACATGATGAAGCATGATGAGGTTTGCTAGACTATTGGGATGAACATGATGAAGCATGATGAGGTTTGCTAGACTATTGTGAGGGAGCTAGACTATTATTGGGATGATGAACATGATGAAGCATGATGAGGTTTGCTGGACTATTGGGATGAACATGATGAAGCATGATGAGGTTTGCTGGACTATTGGAACATGATGAACATGATGATGAAGCATGATGAAGCATGATGAGGTTTGCTGGACTATTGGGATGAATGAAGCATGATGAAGAAGCATGATGGGATGAACATGATGAAGCATGATGAGGTTTGCTAGACTATTGGGATGGATGAACATGATGAAGCATGATGAGGTTTGCTAGACTATTGGGATGAACATGATGAAGCATGATGAGGTTTGCTGGACTATTGGGATGAACATGATGAAGCATGATGAGGTTTGCTGGACTATTGGGATGAACATGATGAAGCATGATGAGGTTTGCTGGACTATTGGGATGAACATGATGAAGCATGATGAGGTTTGCTGGACTATTGGGATGAACATGATGAGGTTTGCTAGCTATGATGAGGTTTGCTAGACTATTGGGATGAACATGATGAAGCATGATGAGGTTTGCTGGACTATTGTGATGCACATGATGAAGCATGATGAGGTTTGCTAGACTATTGGGATGAACATGATGAAGCATGATGAGGTTTGCTGGACTATTGGGATGAACATGATGAAGCATGGTGAGGTTTGCTAGACTATTGTGATGCACATGATGAAGCATGATGAGGTTTGCTAGACTATTGTGATGAACATGATGAAGCATGATGAGGTTTGCTGGACTATTGTGATGCACATGATGAAGCATGATGAGGTTTGCTAGACTATTGTGATGAACATGATGAAGCATGATGAGGTTTGCTGGACTATTGGGATGAACATGATGAAGCATGATGAGGTTTGCTAGACTATTGGGATGCACATGATGAAGCATGATGAGGTTTGCTGGTCTATTGGGATGAACATGATGAAGCATGATGAGGTTTGCTAGACTATTGGGATGAACATGATGAAGCATGGTGAGGTTTGCTAGACTATTGGGATGAACATGATGAAGCATGATGAGGTTTGCTGGTCTATTAGGATGAACATGATGAAGCATGGTGAGGTTTGCTAGACTATTGGGATGCACATGATGAAGCATGGTGAGGTTTGCTAGACTATTGGGATGCACATGATGAAGCATGGTGAGGTTTGCTAGACTATTGGGATGAACATGATGAAGCATGCTGAGGTTTGCTAGATTATTGGGATGCACATGATGAAGCATGATGAGGTTTGCTGGACTATTGGGATGAACATGATGAAGTATGATGAGGAAGTCTGTGGAAAAACGTTGCCACTGTACCAGTTTGTCAGTGTTCTGCTTAAACTTGGAGAAGTTGGCGATGGCGCGACTAAGTTGTATCTTGAGATCAGAGTTGCTGGGTGAGTTCTGTAGAAGTTGGCACACACGCACCATCACATTCTGCAGGCTGCTCTGTAGGGAGAATCAAACACCTTTCAATCCTCCTACCTTCCTGATACCTGACTACAGACCTGAAGGGTGGCCATGTCGACATCTTTCATATACTTGATTACTGCCTTGACTTTTGTTGGAGACTTAAGATCTTGTTAATATATTTTATATTCAAAACATTGATTCACAACAGATTATCCAGTGATAAACAACTCATCAACCAACCTTAACTTGTATTACTTGTACATACACCCATAAACCCCATTGGCTTCTACAGGTATCCCTTGTCACTGGCTTCTACATATAATGCCACATTGTTACTGTACATCCCAATTCACGTCCTTGTTGTTTTTAGTTAATTAATTATTTACTGTATATATAGTCCCCTGTTTTCTACCTTACTCATACTTGCTTGACAACGATACAAGAATCTGTATCGAAACATCGCATCATCCGAATAAAGAAATTGTTTATCCATAAAGTTTGTCTATATACTACTCTCCAACTTCTAAACAATGCCACTCAAAGAAGTTACCCCCTACATACCTGGTCCTCGGAGCTTGTGGCTAGGTTTGCTATGAGACACACAGCATTACACAGAATCTGCTCATTGGTTGGGTGACTGCTTAGGGCTTTCTGTAGACTGCATCCCGAGCTAAAATCTTCCTGGAAACAAAGTTTGTCAGCATCTATAAGTCTAAAACGGAAGGAAATACTTCTGGGACATTCACAGATCACATGACTCATCTGTGAGAAAACACACAAAACACACAAGCTTTTTCCTCAGATGTTCTGGGACATGGGTTGTTGGGTTTTGTGTGTGGAGCTCTATAATTTTGGTTTCAGATGTGAATTAAACTATGTGATTATTTGAAAACACCCTTTTTGACAATATAATGATGACCTACCTGTACAATGCCAGGATGACCTACCTGAACAATATAATGATGACCTACCTGTACAATGCCATGATGACCTACCTGAACAATATAATGATGACCTACCTGTACAATGCCATGATGACCTACCTGAACAATATAATGATGACCTACCTGTAATGATGACCTACCTGAACAATGCCAGGATGACCTACTCCCTGAACAACATAATGATGACCTACCTGTAATATGCCAGGATGATCTACCTGAACAATATGATGACCTACCTGTAATGATGACCTACCTGTACAATGCCAGGATGACCTACTCCCTGAACAATATAATGATGACCTACCTGTACAATGCCAGGATGACCTACCTGAAGAATATAATGATGACTTACCTGTACAATGCTAGGATGACCTACCTGAACAATATAATGATGACCTACGTGTAATGATGACCTACCTGAACAATGCCAGGATGACCTACTCCCTGAGAATATAATGATGACCTGCCCATAGAATGTCACATTGACCTACCTTTTCAATTTAATGATGATCTACCTGTACTTTTTCATGATGACCAGCCTACCTACACAATATAATAATGACCTACCTGTACAATGTCAGGATGACCTACTTGAACAATATAATGATGACCTACCTGAACAATTCGATGTCGGTGCCATTCAGTGCCATTGGAGAGATGTGCCAGTATTTTGAGGGCCACCTCCTGGGTCTGTAACATGAAGTGACATATATTGCAGGGTTCCCTGTCAGTCCATCATAGTTTTATATCTTATGTTTTAGAGTCTCACTGGACAATATAAAATACATAAATAGGTCCACATTTTTTCTTGTCATGGTTTGTTGATTAAGTATCTGGTGTGGAATTCAATTTATTTCATGTGCCTGAAGAGTTATTGCCAGTGACCTCGCTCTCACTCACTCATACAGTGGCATCCAAAGAAACATGACTGTGATCATGTCATCCTGGGCCTAGATTTTCGAAAACTCTCTTAGCACTAAGATAGTCATAAATGAAAGTTAATGTATGGCACTTACAACTACCTTAGCGCTAAGAGAGCCTCGAAAATCTCGGTCCTTACTTTTACTGCATGTATCCTGTGTGGATCAATTGGGATCAGAGAGGTTTTAGCACTGCTAAATATTTCAATAATATCACTGCTGGGTGTTACAGATCTTGACTCGTGAGATATGAAGCGTTATGATGGTGATATCTGATATCAAGCCTGATAAGATGCTGATAACAAGCGTACACTAACATCAGTAGAGTAGCCAGGGTCATGATGATGGTTTATCAATCGTAGTAGCCTGATGTAGGTGTCATGTTCCTGAACACAAATATAGGAAACTCCGCCATAACAAAATGCAACGTGAATTTTTTTCGTGAAATGAACTGAATAGACTACCATTTGACAAGTTTCCATTACACTTCAACCTAGGAATGTTGTTTATATCAGTGACGAGTCTGGCCGTGTGGGACTGGTAGAGTGATTGATTCATGAAGGTAGCGGCATTAAAGCTGATGGGAATAATTCATGGTTCACATCTTTGTGATAGCACAATATTGTGTGATGTCTGGTCACCTCAACCCTTGACTCTAAATAGAAGCCAGCTTCATCATAAATGGAATCTCCACCTCTCAATGACCAGTGAAGATCCGGGTTAGAATTGATCTTCAGCAACCCATGCTTGTAGTAAGAGGCGACTAACAGGATCGGATGGTCAGACTTGCTGACTTGGTTGACACATGTCATTGGTTCCCAATTGCGCAGATCGATGATCATGCTGTTGATCACTGGATTTTCTGATCCAGATTTGATTATTTACAGACTGCCGCCATACAGCTTGACTATTGCTGAGTGGGGCGTTAAACAACAAACAAAAACCTCCACTTGATTCATATCAACAGTGGAATACGTCAACATCCCAAACAAAACCCACACAGTGGAAACTATATCTTGTTTGATGATAGTTGTGGTTGTGAAGCTGTGTAGAAATCTATGTCATTTGGTACCAACCTGCTCATCTGATGACGCCGTCAAGGCCAGAATCCGGGCCAAGGCATTCCGTGAGGATTCTACTATTGTATCATGGGTACCTGGGTGCTCCACAATGAGGCTGAGTGTGCTGAGGGCCAGGAGTGCCAGGGTGGGAGACTGATATGTACACATCGTCAGCACTGGTTGGAGGGCGCGCCATCGTCCAGGGCTGTCAATGACACATACACGTCATCTACTCATGGAGCCTCTTCACACTTGTTTCATCTATCGAGTTATATAGTATTCATCTGGCCATTGTCAAGTCATAGCATTCAAGTGGTTATTGCTTTAATCTACCGGTAGTCATGGCATGCAGTCATGGCACTTGTTCCAATGTTCCAACACTCATGTTTACCTTTTTTTCTTGAGTTCTGTTGACTTGCAGAAGATCATGAGGGAACTGATTCCATCAGTCAGGATCTGTTCATCTGCCTCAGGGAGTCGGGACAGGATGCTGTCAAGACAACTAGACGTCAGTAAAAGTGACAGTCACATGCAACACTGTCAGCGGGATCTAGATGAGGGTAGTTATTGTGATAGATGTAACTTGAGGATGATGTCAATGTCATACAGCTTCATATTGTCCGCAAAAGCATAAGGTGTTATTACTTCTGGGATTTCTGACTTCCTGCTGATTGGCTAGTTTTGTCACATGCTCTGTTATGTTCACTATTTGCAAAGCAACCCCAAACCAACATGCTATCTTGACAACACATTGCCACCAGTACTCATCCATTGCTCATGATATTACAGTCACATGTTACATGATATCTTTTACACTATGTGTGCTACTGAGCTAATGAGTCATCTAGAACCTCTAGACAAAATACTAGGAAATAGATACATGACATAATCCACTTGCAAGTTATAATTCCCATAGCACTTAAATAAATTATGAGCCAGGACAATTCTTGAATTACATGTAACTTGTAGGTTGTTCTCCAAGTTGGCAATAGTTACTAGTATATGCAGGCATCGGATTCTTGTGCCTCTAGATCTGTTACATTCTACCAAACCTTCACAGAACAAGTTAGTATTGTGGTAATATGTCAGGATGACAACAACCTTGTACCAGATACCTGCATATGACCTTGATGGCGCCAGCAGCGGCCAGTTCCTGGTGAAGGGGTTGGTGGGTGGCCAATGCCTGGAGGCCGGACATCACAGAACTCTGAAACACATGGAATGACATCACAGGTCTCTGAAACACATGGACTGACATCACAGGTCTCTGAAACACATGGAATGACATCACAGGTCTCTGAAACACATGGAATGACATCACAGGTCTCTGAAATACATGGACTGAAATCACAGATCTCTGAAACACATGGACTGACATCAAAGATGTCTGAAACACATGGAATGACATCACAGGTCTCTGAAACACATGGACTGTCATCACAGATCTCTGAAACACATGGAATGACATGACATCATGGACTAAAATCACAGTCTCTGAAAAATACATGGGTCTCTGAAATACATGGACTGATCACAGATCTCTGAAACACATGGAATGACATCACATGTCTCTGAAACACATGGACTGTCATCACAGACATCAACAGATCTCTGAAACACATGGACTGTCATCACAGGTCTCTGAAACACATGGAACACAGATCTCATGACATCACAGGTCTCTGAAATACATGGACTGAAATCACAGATCTCTGAAACACATGGAAGGACATCACATGTCTCTGAAATACATGGACTGACATCAAAGATCTCTGAAACACATGGACTGATATCACAGGTCTCTGAAATATATGGAATGACATCACAGGTCTCTGAAACACATGGACTGACATCACAGATCTTTGAAACACATGGATTGACATCACAGATCTCTGAAACACATGGACTGACATCACAGATCTCTGAAACACATGGACTGATATCACAGATCTCTGAAACACATGGACTGATATCACAGATCTCTGAAACACATGGACTGTCATCACAGATCTCTGAAACACATGGACTGTCATCACAGATCTCTGAAACACATAGACTGTCATCACAGATCTCTGAAACACATGGACTGATATCACAGATCTCTGCAACAAATGGATTAGTATCACAGATCTCTGAAACACATGGATTGACAGCACAGATCTCTGAAACACATCGACTGACATCAGAGAACTTAAAAAAGAAGACTATAATTTAGATTGTAGAATGTTCATTCTTAGAGCCCTGGACATAACATATTATTAGATCATATGCAGTCACAAAATAGTACATATATTGAGATGTAAAATTACAGAAACTCATTTAGCTTCGAACAGAGATCATGAAACAAACACATATCTCTATGTAAACATATAGAGTTACTAGTACATTCTTTCTGTCCAGATGGTATACATAGTACTTGGTGACAAACCTTTTGTTGAGGAACTGTAATATATGTGATCAAACTATCAGTCCTTCATCTACCATTATCCTTTTCTTACTCCTCTTGTGTTGTTTAACATCTACAAGTCTTCTGTTATAACACAAGAAGGTAGAGAACAGACAAAACCATTGTAACTTCCAGACCTGAAGGTGTAATTATGAAGTAGTTTCTTGTAGTCTGGATATGACATCTTGGGATTAAAAAAACACAAACATGTTGGTGGATGGCATGACTAATACTAAGCTAATCTTGCCCTCCCCCTTCCCTTCCTCTCCTTTCCACCTTCTGAGTTCTGGATCTGTCCTTGGTGTCCCTGATGTACTCACCAGGATCTGGACATTTTCTGTCTGTGCTAAGACGATGAGAGTTTGGATCCCGCCTAGCTCCACCACCTGGAATAAGTGGGAATATGTAGCAGGGGGAAGCGTGGATGATGAAGATGGAGGTGGTGGTATCAATGTTGGTGTGAGTGTGGGTGTTGGTTTTGATGTAAGTGAGGTGGATGGATGGATTTGAGTGTGGTGTTCGGTGAGTGGATGTGTGTACATGCACATGGATGTAGGGTGTTGGTTGTGTAGTGAAGGGAGGGGGTGTGCTGCCTTAGGGTAGTGTAGGGAAGGTGTGGGGCATGTTTGTAGTGAAGGAAGGGTGCGAGGCACATGTGTAGTGTAAGAAGCGTGTAGGGTGCGTGTGTAGTGTAGTTTGAGTGTGGGGTGTAGGGAGGGAGTCAGGTGAGGGTTTGTTTCCATGGAAGTATATGATGTCATACTGTGAGTTATTACCGTGTTTATATCGGGGTTCATATTTTTCATACATTGCCCTAGGGCAAAATATCACTTTGTCATGGTTACGTGACGTCATGAACAATGACATCACGTTTCTCTTATGAAGTTGCGTTCTACATGCGGGGACAGCGGGTAGCCAGCCTATGTTTGAAAGTAGATTTAGGTGTATTTTCCTCAATTTGACGACTTCGGTAATATCAGAATATAATATATTCGTGCCCATATACACTCATGCTTGAATATCGGTATACCCCTCGCTCTAGCTCAGGAAATACCAACATCTAGGCACTTGTGTTGTAAACATAGTATGACATGGGCACTTATATGATATCCTCTATATAGCATTCTTCCACTGTCACACCATATGTTCCTCACCTCTGTTTTAGTCCATGGACAGAGCAGGCTACAGAAACATACTTGTATTTAGAGTTCGGATAAGGGTTACATTTTTCAGCTTAGTGATGAACATTTGAAATTCAGGTTCCCACTGTTGGGTCCACATAACATGTCTGAGCATGGAATACTCGGTATCACTTGTTCTTCCTAAAACACCTACAGTTTATCTTCTAGCTGTGAATACTCTTCCTTTCAGGCTGCCAGAGAGATATATAACTGACTTACCCTTTTAATGAAAGTATAATCTTTGCATCTTTCAGTGAGACCATTTGCAGATTCCAGCTGAAATTGCTGAAACAAATATTGTTTAAGATCCTTAAAATCCTTACACTACATGAAATACATTAATGAGTAGTGAAAATTATAAAAGAAATTTATGATGACAATTTGTCCACTGTAGACAACTCACATGCATTTGTGACCTAGCCTTGGTGATGAGCTGCGTGACAGGTGCGCAGGCGTCACAGACTCGTTCAGGTTCCTCAATACCCAGCTGGGGCAGCGGAATCTGGCGACAGCAAACAGTTGTCTTACCAATGACTTGAAAATAAGGCAGATGGTAAATTTTAATTCAGTCAGGAAAGTATCCATATTTGATTGGAAGCCATAAGAACCCATTACTAGTGTATATGAGTAACCAAATTAGTACTGTACAAACAGAAATAATTAAATACTATATATCTCCAACTTTGGTTGATACACTATTAAACCAAAATATATTTTACATGCTATAGCAGGGGTGGAAATAACCCATTGCCCGACGGCCCGAGTCCAGTGTTTTTTTCTGTCGGGCAAGCAAATTTGTATATCACACTGTACCTATGTCCAGTTGATATTCCAATGTTAATATGTTGTTTATTTAAAAAATCAACAAGAAACGGCCGGTATAGTGGAAAAATTATCAGGGTAAGTGATTTTACATGTGCCACTGTACCGGAGTACACTAGCAATTTTAAAGTTATTTCCACCCCTGTATAGTCCGTTTGGCTCAAAATCGGACCGATGAATTGCAATCTAACTCGAAAACAACTAAACATAGAATGCTCAATGAAACACTTATCATAATCTTAACATCAGACCAACTCTGTGATTTTTTTGCAGAATTTATGACATAAAAATAAAACAGTTGCTTAACAAACTAGGGAGGGGGTGCAAAGAGAGGAACAGCCAGGTGTGAAAGAAAGGATGGAGACGGCACAGTACAGTTTAATGAATCAATGACTTTGTCGGCACATGTGCACATGCTTCACATACACCTGGCTGTTCCTCCCTTTGCAGTCCTCCCTCATAACAAATAGTGAACTGTGTCAAATTTTAATGATAGTTTGTTAAACAACTTTTTTTTTTTAGGTCATAAATTTTGTAAAAAAATCACAGAGTTGGTCTGATGTTATGATTATGATTAGTCTTTCATTGAGTATTCTATGTCTAGTTGTTTTTGAGTTAGTTTGCAATTCATCAGTCCGATTTTGAGCCAAACAGACTATACAAGAAATGATATTATTACCTACGAGGGCGAACATGATAGGGGTTCATATTTTTCATACGATGCCCTAGGGCAAAATATCACTTTGTCATGGTGACGTGACGTCATGAGCAAGGCTATGACGTCACATTTCTTCTGTGACGTTGCCTTCTACATGTGGCGACGGCGGGGGAGCCAGGTGTTAGGTGGAGACAGGTGTCAGGGGATACAGGTGTCATAGGGACATGTGTTAGGTGGAGCCTAGGTGGAGCCAGGTGTTGGGTGGAGACAGGTGTTAGTGGGAGACAGGTGTCAGGGAGACAGGTGTCATAGGGACATGTGTTAGGTGGGGCCTAGGTGGAGACAGGTGTTAGTGGGAGACAGGTGCTAGGGGAGACAGGTGTCAGGCGAGACAGGTGTCAGGGAGACAGGTGTTAGGTGGAGCCAGGTGTTAGTGGGAGACAGGTAATAGGTGGAGACAGGTGTGAGTGGACACAGGTGTTCGAGGGAGATAGGTGTTAGTGGAGCCAGATGTTAGGTGGAAACAGGTGTAGGTGCGAGGCAGGTGTGAGGGGAAAACACATGTGAGTGGGAGACAAGTGTCCTAGGGAGACGTGTCAATGGGAGACAGGTGTTAGGGAGACAAGTGTCATAGCAAGACAGGTGTCAGGGGAGACAGGTGTTATGGGAGACAGGTATTGGTGGAAGACAGGTGTTAAGGGAGACAGGTGTCAGGAGACAAGTGTTAGGTGGAGAAACAGGTGTTACTGGAGACAGGTGTGAGGGGCAAACAGGTGTTAGTGAGAGACAAGTATCATAGGGAGATGTGTTAATGGGAGACAGGTGTTAGTGGGAGACAGGTGTCAGGAGGAGACAGGTGTCAGGGGAGACAGGTGTTAGTGGAAGACAGGTGTCAGGGGGACAGGTGTTAGGTGGAGACAGGAGACAGGTGTTAGGTGGAGATAGGTGTTAGTGGGAAACAGGTAATAGGTGGAGCCAGGTGTTAGGTGGAGCCAGGTGTTAGTGGGAGACAGCTGGAGACATTTACCTACCCTTTCATTGCAACATTTCTTACAAAGGACACTTCCACACTGACGACAGTGGTGTTTGCGGCGTATTTGGTTGAATTTGTTGTTACAGAGGACACAATAGACACCTGGTTGTCTTCAACCCACCTGTAGACATTTTACAAACATAATTATTACTGCATGTTGGACAACTAAATGATAATGTCAGTGTTTCCATCTGTCTTTCTATGAAACTGACCAGGTGATATAAGTCTTAATTAAGTCTATATCTTACAACCAAGTGCCCATTGCAAAACACTCAGAATTTAATCATCAAAAATACCAAAGAGGCTGGCCACTTATTACAGGATAAGATAAAGAGTGTAGGTTGACTGTGGTGGGGCTGGGTGGAGGTATGAAATATGACTTAGGTCTATTTCTTCAAACAACTTTTTAAAAAAAATAGAAAATCTGAAAATTAGTTAAGGATGTGTCAATTACTATGGTAGGGGTGGGGGTGGAAGATATGATTCAGCAGTAAGTCCAATCTCACCCCCTACTCCAAGGGGCGGTGGGGTAGCCCAGTGGTTAAAGCGTTCGCTCGTCACACCGAATGCCCAGGTTTTATTCCCGACATAGGTATAATGTGTGAAGCCCATTTCTGGTGTCCCCCCACTGTGATATTGCTGGAATGTTGCTAAAAGCGACATAAAACCATACTCATTCACCCCTACTCCAACGCCACCACCTGATACACTAATTAAATGATCAGTCAACATATTTAAAATTAACTTTAACATTAACATTTAACTTTTAATTTACAAATTCAAATAGATCTTACTGTTCAAAGTGTTCTGGATAATATTTGTATGGAATCAGACATTCTTTATGCATTTCTTTATTAATTATAATATCAATCTGTATAAGCTACACTCTCTATCAAGCAAATACTTTACTTATACACCTTATTGTACTCTGCATACATAATTTCAGTTGTAGAAAAATAAGTCAAGAATAATAAAAACTTCAAAACTGTACGTATTCATTTTCCACCGATTATTCATTTAATTTACCCTAAAGTGGCCTTATTGGAAGTGACTTACCTTGCTTTTGTCAGAATGAACTTTGGTGACTGGTAGACATCGGGTACTCCATCTACTCGGGCAGGGTAGACGTCCTGCCCTTCCAGTTTGATACGGCATCCCAGCTGGGACATTGTGTGACAGAGACACCCACTGTTAGATCAGTCCAACTGTCAAACACGACATATCATCCTTCCCTTGCTTCAGTTAATAACATGGATCTATCTGGACTTGTATGGTTGTGGTATGTCCTCGTTTTACGACGTTATGTCCCTCGACTATGAGTTATCCGATCTTTGTACTACTTGCAAGCCAGACAATGGTCCTATTGGACCTGTAACTGGTGCACTGGTATGAGATAACGAATACATATCGATGATAAAACTCACATGTTCGCGAAGAGAGGAGGGGGGCGTGTCAAAGGCAGAAGAGGGAGTTGTCTCCCTTTAACGTGGCCGCTTGACAGTAGCGACCAGACCTTGGAAATATATAGGTTCTGACCCTCACAAGCTATGATATTCATGATCATAGCTAAGTCGTGTTTGTGCACAGATTCCTTTCATTCGCTGTTGTCTTCACTGAATAATAGATGTCACAATCTCCTGGTTTATTGATGTGTATGTATATTCTTAGTAAACATGTTTATGGCCTTTGTGTACGTCTATTCACCCCATGATTTGGTCTTCTTGTGGTGCTTACCGTGTGCTTACCGGTTGTAAGGTGTCGCCCTGAAGTGGTCTGTTTCCACACTTTTGTTCAAGGTCACGATCCGCATAGCATTCGTATAGGGTTACGAGTTGCCATGACTACATTTTACCATAGGTTTGCGTAAAGTATGTATTAGCAGACGGATATTACAAAATAGCAATCCCGGTTTGACATCATTAGCTGACGACGAACTCCATATGGTTTCTGAAGATATGTATTTAAAATAATTACTAGTTTGTACTAAACGATTCAAAATTCACCCCCGATTATCCGTATATTCCATCACGGTCTGCGTAATCGAATGGTGATGTCTGACGCCGGATAATCGGGGATTATAAATGTTCTGCCATGCAATGTATGTCTTCTTTACACAAGTTATGGAGAAATGTTTGGTTAGTTTTTTATAACCATTAACGATCTACCGCAGTCATGAAAGGAAACTCAGATTTGACCGTGCATTTCTGATGCGTTTAGTGATCACAAGCTTGTAAACATGCAAGGTCCGTCATATATACCTATAGTGATGTATGTAATGAATTTATACTTGTAACCTCACTTCAGCTAGTGGAAATGTTTAGTATGATTAACAAAATGGTTATTGGACACACACGCGCGCGCGCGCACTCACACTCACACACACACACACACACACACACACACACAGACGTACGCATATACACTGAACGACAGTTCATCATGTGATGAAGGAACATATAGATAATGAACTTTTGTTAATGAGTGAGTGAGTGAGTTTGGTTTTACGCCGCTTTTAGCAATATTTCAGCAATATCACGGCGGGGAACACCAGAAATTGGCTTAACACATTGTACCCATGTGGGGAATCGAACCCGGGTCTTCGGCGTGACGAGCGAACGCCTTAACCACTAGGCTACCCTACCGCCCCCCTGCTTGTCAATACTGAGATTTTTACTCAGGCGAGGTAAATATAAGTCCCGATCGTGTGAGCGCTCATCTGTGCACAGATCAGAGTATGTTCTGGTATGTCCAACTAACTCAGTCAATACATTCTGCAATCCGCATCCGAGTATAGTCATGAGCGAAAATCCATTTGCCCCACATATAATTCAACAATTTCATTTTTAACCTATGTGTTTAGAGGAACTTTTCATCACCAAATATTTTTGTAAAGTGAAGTTTACACGATATACGAACAGAGGCCGGTGTGACTGCGAATCTGACGTTCATTTAAGGATTGATTTCATGGATGTATGAATTAAAAAAAAGATGTGTAAACAGTATGAATCCGATTCTTACAGAAGTTAGAATTGAAACCCAAAGACATGCGCATTTTTGTAACCCAGGCGAGCGATCCTTGATGGATTTATCTTTTCATGTCTTCTCGACCGCCGTCATTCAAGGGTGATGTTTAACGCTCCGGAATACGCGTACGCATCAGTGCCGCCAAAAGTCCTGTGAATGGTGATACAAGTAAACATAACGGGATTTCCCTAGACTGTAACTGGGATTCCCAGGCGTAGTGCTGAATGAAGTGCGTATTGGTGGGTGTTATGGTTTTTACGTTCACTGGATGCAATAACACCTGACCAGTTCAGCTAATCAGAGCGCAGGTATGAAAAGGAACGCCGCGAAAATATAAGTGTATTTTACGTTTCTGAACGACACATTTTCACGTTCACGCGCTTTTCATAAGATTGTATTCCTGAAATTACAAAAACACACTCGCACTTCTACATTACAGGGGAAAACCCTTGGAATTTCCAAGCATGGATATATACAGAAGCCAGGGGTCTGATTATTTGGACCCTTGTCTTGAACCTACCGCTCTAGCAGAAATTGGGATTGATAAATCATATACAGTCAGGCCGCGGTAATCCGGTCCTCGTTAATCCGAATCCACCGACTTCCGAACGCTACTCACTGGGAACCAAATCATCTCCCTATATATTGTATATAATTGACACCTCGTTAGTCCGATGATCCAGTTTCTGCCTCCGAACGCTGGTCAGTCGGAACGGATTGGACTAATTAAGTTGTAAACAGCTGCGTTAATCCGAACGATTGAAGTTGACCGCGCTGCTGACTGGTCCACCCAAAGTGACACGTTGTTTGTTTAGCGACTTAGCGACTCAAGTCCTTTCAAGAATATTCTCGCTTTGACTGGTCGTAAGAAGAAATACAGACAAAACCATGGACTCAGTCAGTGACAATGTGGCAGTCTACAGGAATTTACCTTAGGTTTTATCTGGCACATCTTCATAATCAGCTTCGTGTGATCGGCGGCCGAATAATCAATGGTGAATAACACATACAATCTCCACAGATTCAAGAACTACTACGGAAATCATTTGGGCCATTTTGTCGTGCTGTATTTGATGTACGTGTTCTTCGAAGAACAAGCAGTCACTGACTTACTAGTGGTTCGTGGGACAAACATTTCATCTACTGATGGTATTATTGAATCTTATGTTTATAACCCAGTGACAGAATATGTTGATGTAGAGCAGGTTGAGAAGACAAACGCTGTTGTAACCTCTTCTTTTGAAGAACTATATATTCAGCTTTAACACTGGCAATATACATGAAGCTGTGTAATGCATTCTTCAAGCTATAACATACCCATGAAGGTCCGGGTTAGAATGAACCTTCAGTAACCCATGCTTGTCGTAAGAGGCGACTAACGGGATCGGGTGGTCAGGCTCGCTGGCTTGGTTGACACATGTCATCGGTTCCCAATTGCGCAGATCGATGCTCATGCTGTTGATCACTGGGTTGTCTGGTCCAGACTCGATTATTTACAGACTGCCGCCATATAGTTGGAATATTGCTGAGTGCGGCGTAATACTAAACTCGCTAACTCACTTCAAGGTATTATAAAAGGCGCAAGCGCCGACGCTCATACGATCTGACCCTCACACTAGGTTCATACTCCAATGAACTCACACAAAGTGAACCGCGAAATGGTGTGTTCTTTTTACGTGACGTCATATGTTTATTCATATCCCGGAATGACGTCATAACATTACGACATATGACGTCATTCTTGAACGTGTTTTGTGGCGACGAAGGGAAGATGGCCAGCTTACGTTTGATGATTACACTTTTAGTGTTTTCTATTGTTGTCCTCGTAGGGTTCGGCATCGGTTTGTTAGTTGCCGATTATGCCGACTCCAACATGAATCCTGATACGGTCGGTGTTTCGTCTCTTTTCATAGTAATGGCGGTGCTGCAGATTGCTTTTGCAGTTTTCGTGATAAAGAAAAGAGGCAATTTGGGTTCAGACATGTTGGAACTACGAATGAGTGATATTGTTGTCACAGAGTCGGGTTGTCCCGCTGACGATATGGCGGATCCAGAGATAAAGGTAAGGGTGGGCTCATGTGGTTAGTTCGGGTCATTTCACGAGGTTATTTACAATTTGATGTCTGGCGCCATCAAACTGATCCACTATGTTTTCTACGCGATTATCTCGATTATTATTATTATTAGGATGTTGCACTCTCCTACCCAGAGTTCCATGCGGCCATGTGACGATTCCTCACCTCTTGCACGGTCCATTCGATATATTGTACATATATTTCTTAACGCTTTCATGTTTGACGAGCCTACCTACTTAATCTTCTTTGATAGAATGGTTTACTTTCACTGAGAAAATATCCCAAAACGTGTAACACTATTTCGATTTGCGTAGCGATGCTTCGTTTACATGGGTTATGCGGGTTCGAAGCTCTCTGCAGAGCGAGCGATGCAGTAACTTTGATGTATACATAATTATGTACTGTCATGAATCTGACGGTCTCAACTGTAGGAGAATATCTATATAACAATGTAAAACAATATGAAGAGAGCACCGAAAAGCTTGCTTAAAGTCAGTCTCTTCTGCTTTTCGTATAAGTGCGTTTGTTTACAAACAAGAGAAAAGTCCGGTCACGTGATATGCAAATTTGTCTGTGGCAGTGATGTTATGCTAAGTCATCGCTGCGCCGGAGTGTGTACATCCGGATGTTTGTCAAAGTTGCGTGTGATTAATGGTGATAAGTTTGCTGGTTTATTAGAAACTTCTATTTCTGTTCGAGCAATTCACATACTTTATCGTACTTTCGGGGTAGATCATTCTTTGAAGCGTGTGTTGAAGCGTGTGTTGAAAATTTATAAGCGTTTAAAGAGAGTATACTTTTCAACGATAACTCTTTTTATGACTATCGTGATGATGTATTGACTTTAAAGACGTAGTATATATAGTACATACAACTTAAAGAGACCCTGAAAGAAGTTAATGAAGAACGCCCAATGTTTTCACGTTTAAGCTGTTAATCTACCATAGCCTGATCAGTTAACTTAATGTGAACGAAATGGGTGTGGTTTGGAATCACAAGTTAACTATGTCGTGTGTTCTTTGACTCCTTTTGAGTACCGTATTTCCTCAAACAAGCGCTGGTATTCCTCGTAAGCGCGGAGGGTAAAGCAGCTCACTAATTAACAATTACGATAATGACACCCAGTAAGCGCAAAAGCGCCGGGTCTGGAAGTCTGTTGAAAAATTAATAAGCACTCCAGCGCTTATACGAGGAAATACGGTTGTTCATATCGTATAAAGTGTGCAATATATTCCAAGGCCAGCAGTGTTGTATGGAGAGAGTCTCGCAAGTTCGATGTAGAATCTACTTTGAGTTTATTCCCTTTTCATCGAGTTGTCAAAAACTAAATATATTTTAAATATAGCGGTAGAAACACTACGTTCAAGTTGTGTTATATATCTTATGTTTGGCCCCAAACCTGTAGCTGTTGGAGTGTCGAGCTCTACTACTGTACTCTATACGGTGTCATTGAACTGTTTGCTCGCCCAGACTCGGTTATTTTACATTTACCCATTATATTTAAATACTTTTGAATTTCGCTTTTAAAACTACAATCACTTACAATGTACTTGTAAATCACCACGAGAGTTGCTCCATCTCTTCATGCAGCACAGGTCTAATATCTGAAACCTCGTTAAGGTGATCATACATGCATGTAGTGTTTGGGATATAGACTTGTCAAATGCTATATTTACATTTCTATGCATGTTTGTACCCGAACTAAAGTGACTATTATATTACAACGTAGGTATGACTACGGTATATATTGTCTGTCGACTACACGCGAACACCCCACCCAACTCCCCATACAGCGCGTGACGAGTCATCCGTGACGTCGTTCATTCACGTGACGTGGTAAGACGAAGTGCGCCCGACGAACGTGCTAATCTTCAAGTATTGTTAACCTGCGTTCTAACACCAGAGGTCGGCAGTCGGTCGTACCCATGACCACTCGTGAGACTGACCCACATATACCCTGGGTAATAATCTTATACTCTACCACAGCGCTACTAATAATCGATAGTAATCATTAGAGGATTCTGGCCTGAAACACACCATGCTGGCGACACACACAGCCACTGGATGTGCTTTGTGCTGTTGATAGCGACGAAACGCCGCGAATCATGTAAGGTAAGATTCGGGGAAGTGTCAATTTTACACACATCTGTTTGTCTTTAACTTGATCTGTTAAGTATGTGTTGAGTTGTGAACTAAGCCTGAACTCAAGTTGTTCAGAGACGGCATAAACAGCCATGACTATAGGTTTTGCTATTGTTTGTGTATGTTTACTAAAACAAACACTACTTTCTACCAAGGGCTGTGCTGAGTCATGTATATATATACCAGCGTCTTAGCTCAGCTGCTATTTCACTGTGGCATGTCAACAAAATGTCACATCGGGATTGTTCGTTTCTTGTCACAACACAGCTAACAAGACGTGTTGATGTCTCAGGCCTATTATTTAAGCCGTGGTGTCGGCAACATTCAGGTCTGAGCAGGTTATTCGGGACAGTATTCATTATGGTCTATCAGCCTGATTAAAGCAAGGACCATAGCGATATAGTATTATAATTAAAGCAAATGGCTATTGAATACATTTGCCGTTACGGCATGCGTTCACTGCTACCCATTGAGAGTGACACTGACGACCATAGAGCTCTCTCCCATACTTTGTGTAAGGGAATCGATTTTGGCAGATAGAGATCAAATCAGTAATGGTATGTCACGCAATGTTTTTGTGTAGTTGTTTATGTGAACAATACATTTGTGCCTGAAAGCAGTAGTTAGAAACCTAAATATGAGCTTACCCTTCATTCACATATTGTCTCATGGTATTTTTATAACAAAACTAAGTATTAATAACTATAATATCTGCAATTGACTTTTGTCGTTCTTTCAAAATAACGTTTTCGTCTGATTAGCAGGAACAGCAAATAAACATTTACATAACAAGCAAGATTAACAGGAAGAAGAACAATAATGAAATCCCAAATCATCGGCCTTTACATGCGTATGTTTGCCTCTCATTTTACCCACTCCTATCTTTAACTACTTTTAACGATCAACTCCCTATCTTTTCTATATATAAACTGTTATCGAATGATCACAACAGAGGGGTGATGATAGCTGCAGTTGCCTTAAGTAACTACATGAAAATCCAGTTGGTGTATAGACTGTTCACCTCAACAGGTATGCAGCAACGCCAGCAAGCAAATCTGTCTTTTTTCCCCACAGGTAAACGAAACACGAAATCAATAAAAATGGCATTAACAAATTTTGAAAACATGTGATTAAATATTTTTTAAGGGGTATAACATTAAAAACCCTTATCGAGTTTGAAAAGCTTCCTTCCTAAAGTAATACATTGAACGCTTAGTACTTAGTAAACAGCTAATTAACACAAACAGTGTGGCTAATTTGAAACAGGACTTTTGAAAAGATATGATTTAGGAAGAGAATTTACATTGAAAGAGACTTTCCTGCTTCACTTGCTGCAAAGTATAAGAAATTTGTGAAATGATATATACATATCTCAAAAAGATATGAAATGACATTGAAGAACGTTCATACTTGGTTGCCCTGAGTGCGTGAGTATTGTTTCTGCAATTTTGCAGCTATTAACGCAATCGACCTAGACATAATGTGCTAATAAATCACTTATATGCATGCACAAAATACTACATATCGAGAAACAGATTTATGTTTTCAACTATTGTTTAATATCATACGCCCATATAATTGAACTGTCTTTGAGTGACTTGATAACATCAAATGTATGTATCCTTCATCTACCTTTACCCTCTTCTTTCTTTTCAACGTGTATGTGTAAATTTGGTTTTCCTCCCTATGTCGCTGAAATAATGCCGACTCACTCAGTGACACCCACTACATTTTTTTCTTCAACTATTCGTCTTTCCTCTTCATATTATATCAAAGGCAGGTGTTTACTTACAGAACAAACACTGTCAGGTAACGTCTAATCACGGGACCATGTAAGGGAGAACATGGCTTATACATGTGATACTATGTCCAGAAATAAAAACATCCAAAACGAAAGATTTAATAACGAACCCGATTATACACTGAACTATCTTGTTAAATGATAACTTTTCGTGACTTAAGTGAAGTGTCAATATCAGGCAGTGGAATTATGTGATTTGTCCAAATAGCACATCTCAATTCACCTGACGAAGGGGCAAGGAATAGCCCAGAAACGTTGTGACATACAAAAAAGAAGTTGTCATCCATAATATTTGGTTTTACAAATAACACATCTGTTTAGTCTTTGCATTTATGTAGCGTACAATATTTGCTGGTTTATGAACTTGAACAGAATGCATTGTTCAAGGTTACATTATTGGTAGGGCTGTTGTACACGATCGTTCTGTTTTGAAAACAGTATATAAGTTGTAATAGCAACTGTATCGAAGCGCTTTGGATATCAGAGCTGCGATACTGCATATTGATTAATAATTCATACTGTTTGCTCCATATACAGTTGTTTCTCTAGATAATATGGCACTCTAGAGACGCTATCTAAAAAACTCGCTCTCTGTCATACTATCCCGTTAGCACAAATCCCCCCCCTATTGACTGAAGTTATTGACAATCTGTCTCTTCTGACAAATATACAAGCGGATTATTGAAATGTGTTTTTGAATGCACTGTTAACATTTGGCTAGAACTCCCCATAGAGTTTGATAATGCCAAACAGTGCAGTAATCATCCGCTAATGGCAGCCATTTATGTATGCAGTGGGACATCCCCGTGCTTCAGCATGACGCCATGTGATTAACAAAAAGTGTTTTGCGCTTTGACTCTACTGGTTCCACGTTTATATAGGGGCTGCAGTCTTCGCAGGCGCGCACGCGCTCATTTTGTGTCATGCGCCTTACGTCGACCAGTCGTCTGTTTATTGCCAAATACAAATCAGCCTAATAATACAGGGGCGGATACAGCTTTTTGAGAAAGGGGGGTGCACACTATTGAGAAAAGGAGGGGTGCACACTTCATTTTTACCTGAATTTCAATAGTCATTTAACAAACTTTCAGCACAAAAGGGGGTGCGCGCACCCCTGCACCCCCCCTCTGGATCCGCCTATGTAATAATATTAATAACAATCAGATACTGCGTATATTTATGATGCATCGTCCCATTCAACGAGTGATATTCTCAGGCCCCGTGGATCATACAACATAAATAGAGATGAGGCTCCAGAAGGTTACAGTCACGGTATCATGTCGCCCTACCCTTACCCTGCATGGTAAACAGAGGTGTATTGCGAACAAAGTCACATGCCTTTGGGGAAACCATATGCAACCTGTGTTTACTTGTGGACAGGATCGAAACCAGGGCCCTGTTCCTCAAAGCGATCGTAGCGCTACGACAGTCGTAAGTCTATGTTAAAGTATGGGAGTTACGATCATCTTAGGGTTACGATCGCTTTGAGGAACGGGGCCCTGGACTTACAGGAGGTAGGTTTGTAAACATGTTCACACAGCCACACCTTTCTGAAATTAGTCTTCTTTGTGACATGTGAGGTGTGTACAGGACCCTTGATGATGTATTCTTCCCTTCGTGACTCAGATTGTGTCACCCCCACTGTTCTACATCCCCCTGGACCGTTCTCTCACGACTCTACAAACCGATCATAGTGGTACGACAGTTCTAAACTACACTCTTATACAGTGTAAACGTCTAATATGGGTGGCATTGTGACTGTGCTCACTCTATTACGCTGATCACCCTGACGATGCTGGTAGACTAGGTCTCCAGCTTACTATGTTTGTGGTGCTCGGCAACAAAATGGAACGGCTGGCAGTGACTTATTTCCTTGCGTATCATTGTACCCAAACGCGTGGAGCGTTGTTCATTATATCAATCTCAGACTTTATCATTTACAAGCTGCTGACGCGCGTATAACAACAATTACAACACCCACAAGTGATCATACGGACGGTCATGGCCTGTCTGATCTAGCATATTGCCTTACCCACAGGACTGAACGTTCAGTCTACATTCACACAAGCAAATATTATCGTAATTATCAAGATGCTAACCAACCACCACATAGATATTGACCCGATTTTATATTGATAACAATTCTGAAGTGATAACTGTCCATTTTGTATTATGTTGTACTTCAAGATGAAACAAAAATAGATCTGAATTGATGAAATGTTGGCGAGACGCCGAGGTGTGTATACACTGTTTTGTGTACATTATATTGTATTGCGCCTGCGTGCTCTATATACATAGTTCGTGTACAGACAGCTTTAGGAAGGAGTATTATAGCGCACTGAAAGGCTTGGTGAAAGAGAGAAACTTGTGACGCTGTTAGAAAGCCATGGGCCTAGATGCAAGGACGTTGTCGTGGCACACAGTCTGAAGGACAAACACACTTGTGCATTGTGTGTGGATGACATTGGCCATCCACAATCTGTTTTACGTCAACTAGAGACCTGTGTACGTGAGAATACCATACACGCTCTAGCTGCTAATGAGACGGTATGTACCGCGATGCGATTAAGTATTGGTGTCTTTATTGAATTTGTTTCGACCAAGAAATATTTGGTTCAGTGTCATGTATGTATTCATTTAAACAACCTGTATTATCAGTGTTTTATGTGACGCAGGTGGGTGCGTCCAAAACACAGACGGACAGAATGGACGCAGAAAAAGTATATATTGTGTCCCGAGGGATAAAAAATAAAATTCTTTGTACCAAATTCTTAAAAACAAAAATGAAGGTTCCTGTAATTAATACAATTACTAAATCGTACGATCAATATATTACAACATGTCATTATTAGTGGACCGTCATATTTCCAGTGATGACCCAGGGTTCTCTGTACCATTAGTGTTGTAGGTCATGGTGAAATCATGTCTGCAGGCATAAGATATACCTATCCGCAGTGGGGACACACTGACAAGAGTCATCGATATGATTGTCTTTTTGTATATTTCAGGTGACTGCCACTGTCTCCCCTGAAGCCGCGTCTTCTGAGCGGAAGTGACGTCTGTAGTTTGCCATGAGATGGGACAGGAGAAACAACAGCGCTCAGAGTTGCACCGACGACGACGGCAGAGGAATACCGAAAGAGGGAAGCGTGCCCAGATCCGGAAGGGTCTGGGTGCCTGTATCTTTACTCTGGGGATCCCACTAGCTATTGCAGGATCCATTATTCTCATAGTTGCCAATGTCAAAGAAAACGCCCAAGCTGTCCCAGCTTCCTTCCCTGTCCTTGGGCCGGTTCTTCTTACAGTATCCATCATCTTCTTTGCTGCAGGCAGCATCCTCACAGACATGATAGATATCAAACCATGTGTTCAAAGCTGCTTTCCGGATGATCCCAAGGCATTCTGCTGGAAAAGATGCCCTATGTTATTTTCATTACTGAGACCCAATGAAGTGACATTGATACACCAGCGGGAGGCGGGCCTTCACGCCCTACAAACAGAGCCTTCCAAACCAGTACTTAAGAAACACACCGAGGTCCCCTCTGCTCCACCTGCTCGGAGAGGTGTCAGGTTTTCTGACACAGATGGAGATGCAGCGCCTGTGAGGATGTCGACATCTTCTGATCTCTCGGATAACGGTAAAGTTGAAAATACTTCCCTCCTGTCTTTGCGCCACTGCAAGATCTACCCCAAGGACAGTGAAAAGTGGGGAAGCATGTCTTCAGACCCTATTGTCAACGAAGAGGGGCCTGAGAACAATGACGAAGTATTTACTCTGTCGGGAAGCAAGGCTGTGGACAACGACAGTGTGTTTGTGTCTCCCAACGATGCCGTACATACCACGGATATCGATAACTCGTGTGACGTGCCAACTGATATTCTGGTCACCCAGAGCCATCCCAACCAGGATGGGGAACATGAGGTGTTGGTGATGGGAAGTGATCATCTATGACAGAGATGAAGGAACCAGATATATATTATATATTTTTTAAAGCTGACATTTTTAAGCGTGCATTCTGTTAGACCGCTTGCTGGAATCCAAAGAAATCCTGGAATTTAAACTTTATTACCAAGAATTCCTACATGTATCAGAATTATGATACACTATGGGAATTTCTGCTCAAGGTTGCCATGGCTGTAGGGAAATATACTCTATGAAGATTAAGTATGAAATGACTTTTCGTTTTGTATCTGAACGAGTTCTGTGTAATATGTTATGGTGTTTTCTGGAGTAATTAACTCTCGGTAAGACTAATACAGGGTTATATGCATTTGAATAACTGTTAATATTGACGTTACTTAAACTCGAATTAATCACTGTGGGTTGGTTCATTTCAGAAAGATATTACTTCCTGTACTAATTCGGATATAATTTTGTGTTCTCAAACCCATTCCGAGTTTATTTCACTGTAATTCGAAATGGAATGGAATATTTATCCGCGGGTGCGTTCATTGAACAACATTCCATTGTCAACAGTATCGACCAGTATCAACCTTTTACCAGTGAACACAAGACAGGTTTCATTAAGGGACGACCATTTAATGTTGTTGATTATGTTAGGACAGTTTTATTTGTTTTGTGAAAGAAGGGATCAATCAATCTTTCTGGATTCCCAATACAGTATTTTTCAGAACACCCAGTTGGTCTAGCCCACTGCTTTACTTTTGTTGTTCCGTTGGTCTGACATTTTCGGGAACAGACGTTTGTGAAACGAATCCCTTCTCCCAGAGATGATCAAATGGTCGGCTTCTAGCAGGCAGGGATATCATGAATGTCGTCTCTACATTAATTATATACCTCAGTTGTAAACGTAGACATAATCGGATTGAAAAACGGGTGATTCTAACCAACATTGATTTGTATTGGACAAATCTGTCTCTACAGTCCCTTGTACATGCTGCCAGCGATTCAGTTTAATTGAATTCATAATACAGTCTGGTCTAAAGTCCCGTAGTTTGCAGTTGTTCAGTGCCAGGCTGCACAAAGCGATCTTAGCGTTACAACTGTCATAAGCCTATGCTAAGGATTGGGAGTTACAGTTACCCGAGCCGCTAAGATGGTTTTGTGCAACGAGACCAAGTTGTATGTATTTCGACGAGAAGTAGATTACTACATATAATCGACGTGTTTTGATGTGTCACAGTTACAAGTCGACAGTCGTTAGTGGTTAATAAGTATGTATATTTAGACCATGATATCCACGGTGGCTTATAGACTCCCTACAAAGCCGACTTGAGTTATTTAGTATTGTGTTGGTTTCAGTAGTTGGTCTTCACTTCTGGAACGGGGTCACACCGTTTGTCTCACGGCAAGTTTAGCTGTAAACTTGTCTTTACTTTATCAGCGGTCTTGCGAATATCTGATCTGAGATGTCCCACGTGATAAATGGATTATGCATATTTATACCCTAGTTTACTGACAGTTTTATTTTTAATATTATGGAGATTGAGTTGTGTCCATGTTGTAAAGATGTGATGTACAATCAGTCATATTTTTCGTGTTGTTTGCACTTAAGTGTAAATTTTGTATTAAATATTTTGTTTTAGTATCAAATATTTGTTTGTATGACTTCTTTTATTGGCATTCTAGAACTTGGTAGATGAAGGATGAGGACTATTCTTATGGTTATATAACTTCTTTATCACTTGCTTGACAACGACATTAGAATCTATATCGAAACGTCGCCTATACAGAATAAAGAAGTTGTATATCCATAAAAATAGTCGGGGCGGTGGGGTAGCCTAATGGTTGAAGCGTTGGCTCGTCACGCCGGGTTCGAATCCCCACATGGGCACATTGTGTGAAGCCCATTTCTGGTGTCCCCCGCCGTGATGTTGCTGGAATATTGCTAAAAGCGGCGTAAAACCAAACTCAGTCAGTCAGGCAGTCATAAAAATAGTCCTCATCCTTTATTTGTAGTTATCTCCCTTTTTAAAATATTGCTCCTGTGTTAAGAACGTGATCACGTGAAGATACAGCATCTCTATGCAGCAGGATTAGGTACCCTAATGGGCAGTGTTAACGGCAAGAGAAGGGCTGGTCGATATTCCCGTGGTCCCGATCGACATACGTTCCCATTACACGTGAATAATTATCAACCACTGACACGAATACAAGCAATCTGGCTGAAGATAAAAGCAAGTCAAGAAAGAATTGTGATATCGAGTATAGCGCCACTTTGAGCAGTTGTTTATTGGAGTGTCAGCAATATTCAAGCCATATCGCGGCGACTTCTACACAATCAAGTTTGGAACAGTCAACCCTGTGATCGACATCAAAATCATCGATCATCGCAGATGGGATAAGAAGACATGCATGGATCAAATCAGTGACCATGAAAACAATATCTCAGGTATAGGAGAGAGTTTAGAACAATCAGGTATATGCTGGGCAGGACAATGGGTTCAGCATGCTGGGTTCCAGGGCTTCTCACTCTGAACTCATTGGACACACTCTTTATTTGCCCTTCTTGGCACCGTCAGAATTTCACTTGTAAGCAAACCTGAAGAAAACCTAACAAGCATTACCCAAGCGATGATGACGTCATTTCTGTTGTACATGTGGATGAATCTTTATAGCGCCAGGAAGAAGCCTTCCACATCAGTGGGAATTGCTGGCAGAATTGTGTGGCCCTCGGACGGGATTATGGTGGAAAATAATAACCAATTATTTAAAAAAAACACTTTTTATCGTTGTAAGGTTCAGAAGTCCTAATGTCATTTTCTGGTGCCAGGTCCTGGCTATGTACACCCCATGCAGCTGCAGTTGCACACACACTTACTCTATGACGGTAATGTAATCCACCCCGTGCAGCTGCAGTTGCACACACACTTACTCTATGACGGTAATGTAATCCACCCCATGCAGCTGCAGTTGCACACACACTTACTCTATGACGGTAATGTAATCCACCCCGTGCAGCTGCAGTTGCTCACACACTTACTCTATGACGGTAATGTAATCCACCCCGTGCAGCTGCAGTTGCACACACACTTACTCTATGACGGTAATGTAATCCACCCCGTGCAGCTGCAGTTGCTCACACACTTACTCTATGGCGGTAATGTAATCCACCCCGTGCAGCTGCAGTTGCACACACACACACTTACTCTATGACGGTAATGTATTCCACCCCGTGCGTATACGGCTACGTTCACAAAGCATCAAGCTAAGATATAATTCATCCCATTCATCAACAGTTAGAGACACCCTAACGTTACGGAGGGTTATATAATTCATCCCATTCATCAACAGTTAGAGACACCCTAACGTTACGCAGGGTTATATAATTCATCCCATTCATCAACAGTTGGAGACACCCTAACGTTACGCAGGGTTACATAATTCACCACATACATCAACAGTTCGAGACACCCGGACGTTACGCTGGGTTACATAATTCACCACATACATCAACAGTTCGAGACACCCGGGCGTTACACAGGATTATAAAATTCATCCCATTCATCAACAGTTAGAGACACCTTAACGTTACGCAGGGCTATATAATTCATCCCATTCATCAACAGTTGGAGACACCCTTACGTTACGCAGGGTTATATAATTCACCACATACATCAACAGTTCGAGACACCCGGACGTTACGCTGGGTTATATAATTAATCCTATACATCAACAGTTATACATGTAACACCAATCAACGTTACATCAACAGGTTATATAATTCATCACATACATCTTCATTACAGACACCCCAGTGTTACGCTTGGTTATATAATTCATCACATACACCTTCATTACAGACACACCAACGTTACGCTGGGTTATATAATTCATCACATACCTTAATTACAGACACCCCAACGTTACGTTACGCATGGTTATATAATTCATCATTCATCACACCTTTACAGGTTTATATAATTCAGACATACCCATTACAGACACCCCAACGTTACGCTGGGTTATATACATGACATATTCATTACATACACCTTCATTTACGACACCCCAACCTTCATTACAGACGTTACACAGGTTTATATAAATTCATCATATACGTCTACATTTAGACACCCCAACGTTACCCAGGTTTATATAATTCATAACATACACCTTCATTACAGACACCCCAACGTTACGCAGGTCACATAATTCATCACATACACTTTCATTACAGACACCCCAACGTTACGCCGGGTTATATAATTCATAACATACACCTTCATTACAGACACCCCAACGTTACGCAGGGTCACAACAGTTGGAGACACACCCTAACGTAATTCATCACATACACCTTCATTTATATAATTAATCCCATACATCAACAGTTAGAGACACCCTAACGTTACGCAGGGTTATATAATTCATCATTTCATTACAGACACCGCGCTTGGTTATATAATTCACTTAATTCATCACATACACCTTCATTACAGACACCCCAACGTTACGCAGGTTTATATAATTCATCACATACACCTTCATTACAGACACCCCAACGTTACGCAGGTCACATAATTCATCACATACACCTTCATTACAGACACCCCAACGTTACGCAGGGTCACTTAATTCATTACATACACCTTCATTACAACGTTACGCAGGTCATCACATACACCTTATTACAGACACCCCAACGTTACGCAGGTCACATAATTCATCATTATACATTTACATACACCCCAACGTTACGCAGGTTTATAATTCATCATATACGTCTACATTTAGACACCCCAACGTTACGCAGGTTTATATAATTCATCACATACACCTTCATTAAAGACACCCCAACGTTACGCCGGGTTATATAATTCATCACATACACCTTCATTACAGACACCCCAGTGTTACGCTGGGTTTTATACATGTAATTCATCATATACGTCTACATTTAGACACCCCAACGTTACGCAGGTTTATATAATTCATCACATACACCTACATTAACAAACACCCCAACGTTACGCCGGGTTATATAATTTACACAGACCCCTAAGTTATATAATTCAGTCCAAGCGTATATACATGTAATTACAGGCACGCTACACCCAATGCATATATAGATTTAGACACACCAGGACCTCAAACAAACAAACAAACAAACAAAACCCAACAACAAACAAACAAACAAACATAATTATGATATGACTATAAATGGCTATATGGGGGTTACAAATCAAAGTTGTACATCGCAAACTCACGAATTGATCATTCAAGAATAATATCCCAAAATGGAAAACTCACTGTGGCTTTCATCCCAACAACAGCGAGTGAAATATGTCTAGTTTACTGTGCAAACGAACCAGTGTTATTCAGTTTCAAAGATTTACCAGGGAGTAGATATTATATTTGAAACCTCGAGCGAAATCTCCGATTGTAATACTCACCATACGATCGAAGACGATTAAGTAATATTTTACGGGTGCTTCGCTAGCTATATATCCGAACATAACTGACCGATAGTACCGAGAGATAACACGTTCATGTTCAACTACAGTGATGTGATATATCATTATATAACATGTTTGACTGTACAAGGGCAAAACTTAAACAATCATATAACATTAAAGACGACATACTAGCAAGATATTACCGTTATTCAACACCAGCGATAAAACAGGGGCAACAGAGTGAAATATGTAAGTCTAGTATAATGTGCAAATGAACCACGGGCACCAACAACAACAAATACTAACGGGACAGGGTACGGGACATATTCAACACCA